GGTGATGGGCAGCCTCCAGCTAAACGACAGGTGACCCTGTTTTCAGCCTTCCAATCTAAGAATCTGCGTGAGGAATTTATTCTTGACTTTGTGAGAATGTGTACCATGGCAGATATTCCTCTAAAGAAGGCAGAAAAAATGCGTCCGTTCATGAGGAAACATTGCAAACAAGGTGGAACACTGCCATAAGCAGCAACATTACGAAGTCTCTATGTGCCTCGTCAGTTTGAAGTCCATTTTTCAGCACTGAAAGAAGCACTTCAAGGTCAAAAAGTCTCCCTCATCACTGATGAAACGACTGATGTGCCAGACCACAGCATCTTGAATGTTGTTGCTGGTGTCCATGGGAAGTATTTCCTCATTGATATTTGTACTATGGAATCCTGCAATCATTCTACACTCAGCTCATCTGTCATCAAAGCTGTAACCAGTGTGGGCATTGAGTTCAATGATGTCATTGCAGTTGTCATTGATTCTGCAGCTTACTGTAAGAAGGCAGTTCGGGAAGTTTTGCAGCCAATTTTCCGTAACAGTTGCCATGTCCGCTGTCTTGCCCATATCATCAATCTGTCTGCTGAGGTGTTTCAGCTTTGGCCAGAGTTTGACAGAGTGGCAACTCTTGTCAAAATGATGAAATCCGTCTTCTTTAAAAAACCAGCACGCAAGAAACGTTACTAGCAGTTCTTGGGTGACTACCTCCCAAAAGATCAAGTGAAACTCCCTCCAGTACCAGTTTCAACTCGTTGGAACTCTTGGTTCAAAAAGGAGGAGAGTAGATTATTGAGTTGACAACACATAAGGAGATTTACCCTGAGCTACGTCTGTACATGTCCTTCATAAAGGAGAATTGCACCAGTCTAATGTCTGCACTTACCAGTCTGGAGGCAACATTGGACCCTCTAGCTTGCACAGTACACAACACCATTGGCGACCTGAGTCGTTATTTGCACGCTGGCACAACCAAAACATCATTTGGAACTGACACTGACGCCTTCATGCAGGCTAAGCCCCAGAAGGAGAAAAAGGCTATAACCAAGACATTTCAAAATGTCTTCCAGGCTGCTTTCAACAAGCTGGAGAGTCACATTGAGCAGCATCCAGCCTTCCAGATCTATAAAGCTGCCAGGATCTTTGATCCCAGACAGCTCGGATCGCTCTCACATGATATTGCAGAGTATCAGCGGATCCCTGGCTTGGAAGACCCCAAATCTGCCACAATTGAGGAATGGCTAATATACATGAACTTCAATCCAACTGAAATACCTCAACCACTGAACATTGCCAAGTTCTGGGAATCCATGACAGGAAGATTCCCCAACCTGTCTGCCATCGCCAAAGAGATCATCTGGATGCCCGTTGCGAGTGTTGACGTTGAGCGCAGCTTTTCGCAGTACAAACACCTCCTCAACGACCTAAGGGAGAGTCTAACACAGCAAAAAACAAAAATGCTAGCAATTATGTATTTCAATGGAGACATTGAAGACCAATTTGCCTGAATTATGAGATGAAGATCTGCAGTCCTGTTATTTTTTTAGTTTTCCCTCAAATTTACTCAAGCACTAAATACATTTAAGTGGAACAAAACAGCATACCGCTAACCGGTATCTGACTGAGACTATATTACATGCACTTTTGCCATAACCTGGGTATGAAAAAGAAACAAGTTACTCTGCAATTTAATTTATCAGGATGTTATGCGTGTACATGTAAGTATCACAGTAACCTTTAATATTTACAGTAAATGTACTGTCTCTGAATATGGGGTATGCTTCAGTGCACGTTTATGTTAAAAGAAAGAGTGAAACGGAATTTTTCAGCTTGAAACGGAATTTAAGATATTTGAAAACTGAATTTGCACTTTTCTGAAACGGAAAATCATTGGCCCTACATTATTCACAGTTTTTGGATGTGGAATCCAAAGTATAATCATAAACGTTTAACTGTTATGCCACACCCTTTTTGTCATGTGATGTACAGCTACAAAGTGCAGATGTGTATAGATCATTCAGGGATTTATACATGTAGGTCAGGATGGCAGGAAAAGGCTCATTTTTTGCCAATGGTGTGGGCAATTACACTTTGCAAAATACAGAGTAGGCCTTTATAGGCACAAAGGATTACATGCGGATCAAAAGAACTGTTCTACAAGATATTCACTAAATAAGAGGTCCAGAGGAATCAAGATATTTTTTTTTGTTTCCAGTAAGAGTTGTGAGTAGCAATAGGTGACTGTTTAAGGAATGGTAAAATGTGACGTACCAGTATTTTCTGTTTGCAACTGGTGCTGTTCCTGCTCCATTGGCACAACCTTGTATAATGCATGGATTTTGGACACTTTCTTAAACGTAATTTGCTGCTTCATTCTTGTACAGTACATTTTCTTTAATTCGAATGTGGTGTGTGTTTGTGTGGTGGTGGGGTTCTGCATGCATTAATTTCTTGTTACAGCGCATTAATTGCAGGTTTCAATTAGTTTATTGTGACTTTGTGGGGGTTTACTTATCTTTTATGCCTACTCTGTTGACAGTTTTATTAATTGCAATTTGCATAGTTTTTCTATATCCTTTTATATTATTTTAAATCTAATTTGGTTTTTTAGTATTCCACTTCAAGTATGGATTGACAGGCTTTCGGGTCATAGTTTTAAGTATAATACTATCAATCCTGGCCAACCAATGGGTTGCTCTTGTTATCTGTTACGTCCTTTTGTTAAGCTATAGTCCCTTGACTTTAGTGTTTGTTAAATATTGTCCTACCAGTTTCTGTTCTGAATGGTCGAATAAATAATAATTTAAATGATTATTTTAATTAGGGTTGTTCATTTTCTCTGTTTCATGGTTTCATTCTTGACAGCTATTGGCAAAAAGTTGTAATTCAAAATAGAGACGGGAAAAGTAACACTGTCTCATTGGAGGCACCAAGTGGTAGGAGGTCGGCAGAAGGTAAAAACAAGGTGATATGTATTTTGATTACCGAAAATGGGTCACTTGGGAGACATTCCCTTAAGAACGTGCACAATTTTATTTCAAACTTGACCGTCCCATAATTCAATATTCCCTAATCCAATCTTAACCAAACCTTGCATGTTTTCTCTCAGACCCTAATCTATCATCTCCCAAAATATGGACAGTAAAGATTTTCTTCTTTTTGGTAGTTGGAGGAGTAGGGAGATATTGAAATGTCTCCCAAATATTGAAAAATTAACCACAAAATGTCTCCCCAGTGACCTATTTGGAAATATTATTTTATATATATGTGAAAATTATATTCTTGAAAAAGTGAGAAACTGATTCTCTTTTGATTAGAAAAAAACTTAGACGTTAAAAGGATGTTATTGTGGAAATGCAAACTGGTGCAATTTATAAATAGTGGAGTAGTCACTTGTGGGGATACAAATAAAAGATGTTATTCTACACCTGTTGATTAAGATCGCAGTAGAAAAGAGTATGGTGGTATATCACTCTAGTCTATGTATGAATTTATTCTGAATAACCTTTGTATGCGAGAGACATAAATGTTTTTTTATTTTTTTAGATTCAGAGTTTGCAGAGCTTATTCTGAGGAATATTAAAGAGGCTGCCTTAGGTAAATACTGTTGTCTTGTTCTTTTACACCCCATATAAACTGCTGAAAGGTCATAGAGCTACTGAAATCAAAACTACAGTGCTTGCTCACAGTGATACCTGCTGGGGGCATCTACATTGGTGCACAAATATTTGGAAAACTGGAAATTTTTGTACCGCTTTTATAGGGTTGTTTTCATATCTATATGTGCATTGTAAAACAGTGCAACAGCAAAGCCGATAAATGCAGTCAGTAAGTGAATGTTTCGTTTTGCTTTATCCAACAATGCAAACGTGTGTACTGCAGATTAATTTTGCCAAGACTTTTTAAATTGGATTTTAATGTCTTGCATTTGCATTAAAAATGCCTGCACCCAGGTTGGCATTAAATTTTCTCTGCACAGGGAATCCCAGCAGAAAATTTAGTCAAGCCATCAATAAGCCTCATTTGGAACCTAAGTAATCAAAAGACATCAAGAAAACAACAGGCATCAAATAGACGTCACAAGTCCTCATAAAGGCATCAAAAAGGCATCAATATGCCCTAGGCTTCAGATAAACATCAAAAGACATCAGAGAGCATCACATAGGCACCAGTATGTCCTATAGGCTTCGAGTAGACATCAAAAGGCATCAGAAAGCATCACGTAGACATTAATATGTCCCAGGCTTCCAGTAAACATCAAAAGGCATCAGAAAGCACCACGTAGGCATCAATGTCTAGGCTATAGGTGGACAATTACAATCAGGGAACATCACAAAGAATGGTAACATATTCAGTGCCTATAAATCAGCAGTAATAGGAAGACATGCAAGTGCTGTAGAAGCTGTGTTACAAAGTCACCTAAATGCAGTGGATCAATCAAGTCTTAAATGTAGTTTTTTTAAGTACATGTTGTCAATACCAACTGAGTATACAATGTACATGTATACGTCCTGACCTGCACTCTCATGGTTCATACAAAGGTCATTGTTTCTGTCCATCAATATTTTACTGCATTTTCCGCATTGATTTAATCCAGTTCATTTACATGTACTCAAGTTCAGGCACATAAACATTTGAAGAGAACTATTTACAGCTGCCGTTGGATTGACCCAAGATGTGATTTGCTCATGGCCATACTACTGAGAAACTGAGTATTTGTCATGGAGTGAACAAAATCTGCTTGTTCCTTGACAATCAGGAACAAATCACATAATTTTATATTACTCTTGCAGCTGATATGCCATTTTCACCCGAGTATCACTGCAGTTTATATGTACACTCATTTAGGCAGCAAAAAGCTGGTAACTTATCGGTTCCCATAGCAGAGACGTAGCCTGATCACAAAAAGTGGACATTAGCTGATCTGTGTCGTGGCAAAGTAGACCTGATGAGGGCACCTTTAGACATTGCACAAATGAAACTGAAGAAACACAAGAAGAAATGCAGCCCTATTTAGCATATTTTATTTGTTACTGCCTACTGATTACAGGTACCTTGGGTAATGACAATACAGTTCTGCCTCTGGCTAAAGTTAACTTGGTGAGATATCCTAATTCAAATTGGGTATTTTTTTTTGAGAAATTCACTGAAAGTTCATTTAAAATCTGTGCCCCTGTAAACTGATAAAGTTCGTAGTCTTACTAAAGACAATACACCCCCAGCTGAAAACTGGTGAGGTATCTCATTATACAGTATACACGTACAATCCTCTGAAGGATATGCAAACATATGATGATTTAAATTTTTGGTATGTAATAACACAGTTTGCTCAGTGCTTACCAAGTACTGGCAAAAACTTCACAAGCTTACTCGATAGGGAAATGAACCTACAACCCCCTGCTTAGAAGTTCAACCATTTCACCAATGAACATGCCAGCATCAGTTGTCCGGTTTGAATCAGCTGAAGGGCGGAGACCAGGTTCAAACACTTACTAAAGATATATACTCTGCGTCAGGGAGATGTAATTGAGACTTAGTTTTTTTCTTTCGCAATGCAACAACACTTTTTGCTCAGAGCTTACCAAGAGTTAGTGAAAAATTCAGAGGCTTAATTGAGTGACTTGCAAGCATGACTTTCTCCTCTTAATTGGTATGCACCAAGCAAATAGTGTTGTTACATAAGTTGCTAAAATGAAAACCCAAAAAAAATTAATTACACATGCCTGATGCAAAATACATCTTTAGTATACACTGCTGCAACTGACTCAAACCAGCTAGTCAGCCAACACTGGCAAGGTTGGTGGTCAAACGGTCTTACGGGGTTCATACCAGTAAGTGGGAGGCTGTGTTCCAGTTCCAGCCAGGTGAGCACTGAGAAAAAAAGTGTTGTTAAATATATGTTAATTGGTAGAAGGAAAATACATCCATAATACATCTCCTGAAACATCTAATGACCAACCTGTAGTTCTGTGAGTGTTTAACATTAAATGTGAATGCTTCAAACATTCTCAATTGAACTACATCTCCAAATGCAAAATTGTTCAAATTTATTTGTAAGGATGAAAGGTGTTCTAAAATTGCAAGAAAAAACATCACAAAATTGCAAGATCATTCTAAATAGGCCTAAGATATGATGGTTTGTGTAGTGGGACAATACAAGGTATGAGGTTTGTACTCTCACGATGGAGTAATTTACCTCTCTTGTTTGGCACTGACAGGAGGTACTTATTACTCCCTATTTCTGCCAGTACGTTCTGCCTATCATCAGGAGACTGATGACAGACAGAATACATTGTTTAAAATGTTTAGTAGAAACCAGCTCCTTCCAAGACTACACATACAAAAGAGAGACTGCTCTATGGCGTTTGGGCAAATCTTTCACTTTGAGTGATAATAATGAGCTTTGTACTTCCTTATGCTAAATTATGGTGTATTATCCATGCTTATCTCAAATTAAGCGGAAACCATTTTTTCACTCGTATACATGTAACTGCATGATTCCACACATGGAATTGTTTCTTTCCACTCATTTATAGGTTTAGCAAGTTTTTCTGAAATCGGGCATCTTGTTGCCTGTTATTGTTTGACTGAACGCCCATTGTCCACTCTGTAAAGAGCAAGTGAGTGCCATTAGCACCATGGCACGATAGATTAGCAAGCCTAATGGTTGATTGAAAGGTTTTGTTGATGAACATTTTCTTTTCAACGTGTTTTGCTAAAATAATCACACAATATATTTGCACTCGACCAGATGAGAAAAATGTTTGCCATAACTGAAATCTCCCGTCAACTGAGTTCGTCTTACAGATTTTTTCCTCACAGGAATGCACACACTTCATTGAGGACCAGTGAAAAATGCTTGTCTGAACCGGTTTCTCTTCTTAGCCGAGCCTGTGTTAATAATGAGTGTCAACTGCACCATGATAGGCATATAATGGATTAATCTCACAGTTTTGGCACACGTCGCGCGTTGGAGCACGCACTTTTTATCGTCCTTGTTATTTCACTATTCTTCAAGCGACTTAGGTTGTTCCCCACAGCAACTTGATGGATGAAATCTGCAAGAGAACAAAAAAATACCAAAAGAGGAAAACATTTATGAAGTATGTTTCCTTATTAAAAACAAATCATTAGAAAAAGGCTCAACAGGTACTTCCAGTTCCAAAATACTTGTACTTTTTTGTATGAATAGATGTCCTTCAGTTTCAGCACAAGAAACCACTTGCAGTACCACATTATGCACTTGCAAATGTGATTCACCATCAATATACCACACATACATGTACATGCATATACCATAGGCTCACAGCACTCTTGCAAACACAACAGAGAATTTCTAACAATTATAATGTGATTGCTTTCTACACATACATCCCTTCCATTTGAAAAATTGCAACAGATCATTCAGCAACAGAAGATAAAGAGTGAGGAATGTTTAGATCCGAGCCTTTGGGCAGAGGTGGCTGGAGTTAGCCGAGCAGTCCATATGATGACATTTACGGAAAGTGAATGACTCTCAACATTTTAAGCCAAAAAACTCTTTAAAAGTTCATTCATAAATGCCTTAGACAGTCCCCCTATTCAACAGTGCGCAACTTCACTGTGCATTTAACATTTGATAGTGCACTGCGCAAAAAGTGCATTGGTGCCTGTATATGACACAGTTTCATCCCTTTCTATTGCTTGAGAGTGTGAATGTGCTGCAGCATGCAGTGCATCTCATGTGCGTCAATTCCATGCAATAGGAATATACCATCATATGAATAGCAGGTGATCAGGAAAATAAAATCCTTTGACAAAATCTTTTGAAATTCATTATAGCCTCACAGTTTTCACAGAGGCAAATAGGTAAAAAATCATGACTTTTAGAAATCATTTGTGGGGGGGGGGCAAAATCAATTAGGCTAATGGATGGCTACAGATTGGTGTTATTTGTCACTGAAATCAGCTTTAGGCAAAATTTGAATAAAGTGTACTTCCAGCTTTCAGTAACAGGTAAAACTGTCTTCCACAGAGAAAATGTTTGCAATAAAAGGCAAAATCGCATGGGGCAAAACCCTTTGGTGGTTTTCATAAAGAGACAAGCTGACTCTGGAAATGTGTACATTTGTAATAATTTGCACCTGGCATGCACAAAGGGAAATCACGTGCCCCCTCCTTACACAGCCTGAAGAGACAAAAGCCACACAAATTATCACAGAGAGACAAACCTATTTGTTTACTGTTTGGCAATTTTGTGTAATCCAGGATCCCGTTTTTCACATAGTAGCATTGTTTTAGTTGAAGGAATGTTACGTACTACAGAAATAAGCGTTGAAAAGGAAGCCAACTTCAAATGATATTTTTTAAAACAAGTTGTTACTCCATTTTGTGAATCTTATCTCTTCATGAAAACTGTGACAATATTTTTATTTTTCGACCCTGTAACTAGAAAGGCATTTATGGGAATAAATATGTGTTTGGGGATCTTAAACTAACATTAAAAAAGGGCTCAGGAGAATAGATGTAGATAATACTGCGCAGTGTGGAAATTAGTCAAGTCAATTTTCTGGGACCAGTTTTAAATACATGCTTAAGATCACCAGAACACACATTTATTCCCACACCTTATATTTCTATACTGGGCAGGCAAAATGGAACATATTCACATTGTTTTTATCAAATCATACATGTACTCACCTTGTGCCGCTTGAGCAGCTCTCCAAGGAAGAGCTTAACGGTTGCTCCCTTTGCCTTTCTGTCCTTTGTAGCAGGCTTGACAGAGCTCATCTCTGCTGGAAAGGACGGTGAGCAGATGCCGCAGAACAACCTTCAGATTGTCAGCTTCTAGGGAGGCTTTAACTGCTTCCACTTGTTGGTGTGTTATGAAAACTCCAAAGCCAATATCAACTTTAGAAGCTCCTTGACTCTTAAACAAACATCCAAGTTACAAGTCAAGTTAAAAAAGACAGGCACCCCAAAAAAATTTCAAACCTACTAACCTGATTGCGTTTGTTTAGCAACTATAATAAGATTCTAAGCGTCAGTGGGTCTGCTAATTCAATAACAAGCTACACTGTACATGTACTCCAGTACTCTACCTGAAGAAAGACTTCTATTCTTCGTCTTTCACAGCTGGATAAATACAAGCAATGAACAAACAGTGTTTATCAATATACACGTTGGGTAAGGGTGAAACTCATTATATAAATACATGAACTTAATTATGGTATGGCTTTCAGCAAGACACGAACAGATGGTCTTACTTGCTTGGGAAGTATACTTACATTTGTTTTGTGGCTTCATTCCCAGTTCTCTCCCTTGAACTCCTCTTGGGTTTCAACTACAAGATAAAAGTAAATAAAGGCAACTTGTACTCTGCCGATGTCAACTTTTTGTCTTAGTTGAAAAGTTGGGTCAATTCAACCAATACGCTTACCTGGTCCAGTTGTGGCCTTTGCTGACCCCTCAGCAAACCCGGCCTCCCACGCTGAATCTGACCCAGGGTCTGACTAGTTACTCTACGAACTACTGCTATGTCACAGTAAGAAGGCGGATTGACGCGACTGATGACCGCACTCGTCAGACACGGTGCCTCGTAGCCATCTTGTTGCCTGGCAACGTTGTCGTCAGTCACGTGACTCTGGCTGAGCATATGGTTTCGGTGATGATGTAATCTGGCACGAATCTGCGCTTGCACCATGAGGAATCTGTAAACAATCACCGGTCACAACTTAGCATATTATAACCCTTGACGGGTGACGCCATGTTGGATGGGCTAAATAACAAACTAATATGAGGTTCCTCTTATGGGGCAGGAGTGAAAAGTCGACTGTCCGGGAGTCCACATCTGACCTCCGACCTTAAAAGTGACGTCATACTTGCTTGGTACGAATCATGCGCAAACAAAATAATCATTATAAAAGTACACAATTCCGGTACTACTGACCTTTGACCTCTCTGTATTGATTTGTGCACAAACGAATGGAGCCACACGTAGCAGCATAGGTCCACCGTATACAGCACGGTGTCTAGGTTCAGAATGACGGGTTGCGCGTTCATCCCCTTTCAGTATTGGGTTGTTTTGTTCTTAAAATATTCATGCCGACGCTCACGCACGCGTATCCCCTTGGCAACGATTGATACTTCACACGAGCACTTTTGAAAAATAACACTCGACTTGGATTTGTTTTTTTTTCCTATGGAATCTCTTACGCCAAACCCCAAAGACGACGAGGCCGACCCACCGGGAGACCTTCCGGATCTCTGGAGCACGTGGAGAAGAGAAAACGAACCATCTGCCTGGGACAACGTCCAGTATCACAAGGACCCCATTTACGGGTACTGTCCCCTCCCAAATATGCAGAATCACCTAAAGAGTTGTAATTTATCAATGTATAAAACGTTTATGAACCTTTATTTCTTAGAGTGTTCACAAGTCCCATCACAGGTCGAATCACAGGTCCCTTCACAAAGCAAATCGTAAGTCCCTTGAAGGCCAGTCATAAGTAACAGTATAAGACTACAGGGTGAAAATGACAAAAGAATTTTTTCCCCAGCTCATTTAAATAGCTTGTGAATTGGCTTAAGACACAATGACTTGAAGACACTTGTGATGGACTTCAACATAACACTGAAGTCATCAAATGTCCAATCTATGTTGCGTATCTGAGTCCAGGTCGCTGTCATGCAGCTTGAGCCCATGTCCAAGTCATGAGTCCCAAAGGTCATGTCAAAATCAAAGATCGAGATCAAGTCATGAATCAAAGGAAATGTGCATTACTTTTGAAACATTACACTAAATTATTTCTAAATACAAATATGCATCAGGGAGATGGTAATTTGATTTTGGGTTTTGCCCTACTGACGACAGGCGTAAATTATAAACATTGAGAATATACATGTATGTTGGATAGGGCCAAAAGTAAATTACAGCGAATGTTTCCGTTTTTCACAGCTTTTCTGGGAAAAGTTTCAATTGGATATGCACAAAACATGTATATTGCAAATCCCAGTACTGGTGTGATACGTTAATGTTTCCTTTTTTCAAAAAGGAATAAATGTATGCTTACGTTTTGAATACATACAAAAAGGTTTAGGTAACAAGGCATTGTACTCGTGCAAAAGTTTTAACGAGAGGTTTAAGATTTGTAAAAAGCGTGTGAACAACATGACGGTAATGTTAGTTTGATATTGGACATTTGGATATTCCCACTGATTTGTACAGCGAATATCTTATTTTGCTTCACACATTGGACATTCCCATGGGATTTTAAAGCAAATGTCTGATTTTGGTGGACACTGGACATTCTCACTGGTTGGTAAAAATCAGACATTCGATGTACACTTCTATTAGAATGTCCACTCTGTCAAGAAAAATCAGACATTTGCTGTACAAACCAATGGGAATATCACTGTCCAATATGAAACTAACTTTACTGTAACGGCAACAACTTTCATAAAGATAAAACAAGTCACGCAACTGCAGGAGGAAAATGTCTTTATTCGGTAGAAGTGCTACGAGCCCTTGATTGTCAGTCGAAGACAGTGCAGAATTTATTAAAGACTGGTGCGGTGGCAGGATGTACCTGTCGAATTACTGGTGGCCGATGTGGCGAGCATTGTCAACAGGACTCGCCAAAGTTAATTGTCTTGCACTCATTGGTTGCTCGTGAGGGTGCGTTTGCGCATGCGCCAAAAAATTTGAAAATGGCGCCCCTCATTATCGCTTATGAATATTAATTTTTAATCCCTTGGGAGATAAACTTGAGACGACTCTCCAATTACATCCCCTCTTTCCAGTGACGACATCGTATCTGGCGGTTTCTAGTCACCCCAGTTGCTTAGATGGATTCATCAAAATTATAAATATTTTTTAAATTATAAGAATATTCAATTCCAAAGTAAATTTATGCAAGGTCAAATTTTCGACACATTTTTGAATAAAATCGTAAATGTTTTCAGTATTTGTCGGAAAAGTAAGGATATTTTTAAAACCACAATTTTTACAGAAATCTACCTCCTTCAATTTGGTGAACGAGGGTCCAGTGTTCATTATTTTCACTGCAGGAAGACAGCTAAAAATTTTTTTAGTCACGAAAACACACCCTTGAATATCATATTTTTGGTGACATTTGCTCGTGAAGAACTGTGTACCGTGTCGTGAAAAATTGGAGAATTCTCTAGTTTGGAGCTAATGCTGCATGATTCGTGAAAATGTGAAATTATGGGCTTGTTTGTTTCTGTCGGAGATAAGAAACGTCGGAATCACTCCATGGCTACCACATTTGGCAAGCCATCTAGCGTGCCTGGAAGCTGACACCCGTGGGAAGAAAGCTGACACAAGCCCCAGTCGCGAAACCACAGCCGGCCGCCTTGTGGTTGGCGGCCGTTGAGCCGAGCTTGGGGCCCGCACCCACTGCAGTGACTGACGGATTCTTCCATGTTGTGACCGTAGAAGGCCCACTTTCACAGCTCCGTATATGCTGAAGACCACATTTTACTACCTTGGCAGTCCTGGCACTACTTCAGTACTTGGTCCAGGATGATATCGTTTCGCATTGTGCTAGCCAAACGATGTTTGGAAATGTTAAAAGGTGGGCCTAGGCATAAATTTAAAGTTTTTTTGTCAATCTCGGTTGGCTGAGAAATAGGACCCTGCTAAAAACGGACATGACGGATCATTTTTGTATGTGTGTTGTGAACTTTATACCGGCAAACATCTACTTTATTCGCATGGCCTGGCATGTCTTGGTGATTGTTAGTTACATTTTTGGCAGGAATTTGTTGCAGTTGATAAAGACAGCATTTACACTTCACGTTGACACAACAACAATCAAAAGAAACATCTTTTCTTATTTGATCTGAATTGAAGTGATTCTGACACAAGATGAGGAATGCCATTGGAAATCTATAAATATGGAGAAACCTGCCAATCATTATTTTTACAACCTTTTGTTAGTACATGAATGTTCACATTATTTTTTTTCCAGTTGGTGCAATTACACAGATACCGTGATGCCTGAGCTGATGATTTGGAATTTCAAGCATTTCAAGGATGACTCTGATGACTGTAAGGGAAGAATTAAAAATTAGTCAAAATGAGTTGAAGCGTACAATGATGAATGACATTTTATTAAGCGGCAAAGATTTATTGAAATTTGTCAAATTATTAGATATACAATGTAAGACTAGAAAATAGTATTTTGGATATAAACCTTCAAAGCACATATATGCTGTCCAAGACTCCATGTAGGTATTGTGTTTCAAAAAGATTTTTTTGCAAAAAAGAATTGTTTGAACTCAGAATGTACCCCGACGTTTTGTTCATGTAAAGAACTCACAATAAAGTTTAATGTTCTATGTACAATTTTTTTTACCCTCATCAAATGCGGCTGAGCAACAAAGCCATTACATAATTTTATAATTCAGGCGTTCTATCCATACAGCTGACTACAAACGCAGGAAATCTGGACCATTTATAGAAGTAAAGGCAGCTTAAAGAAAGAATGAGATGTGTAAAATTTCTGGACTGATTTGTGATTGACATTTTTAATAAATCAACAAAACACTGAATTTTGCTTGCAGTCTAAGCTCCCTCGTTTAATTTTTCTTATATCTAAGTGTACTTATTTCCAAGACTTTTAAGACTCTCAAAACTTAATGTTCACTGGAAACTGCTGTCTAGAAACAATCTGTCATTGGTCTTAAGAAATTGGCAAAGCTGAAGCTACCCAAGCGACATATGCGAAGTTGCAGTTGGAGTTGCAAAAAGGAGAAAAAATAGAGGTGCAAACCAAGTGAAACACCTTTAAAAAATTGGAAAGTCTTTTTGGAATGTTTTGAGTTCAGACGGGTTGATCTATTTGAGTGATTAATTATTTTAAAGTCTCCAAACAAACTGAAATGTTTGCTTTATCACGAAACCGGTAAAGCGTACTTTAATGTGGCTATTCTTCAACGCACGGCTAAGTTCCTATTCAATCACACGTGAACTTGACCTTCTTAATCCAAAATAGGCGGACGAAATCGGGCAATCTTTCTCACAAAAAAATTTAGCTTGATAGTGACAATATTGAAAAATTACATAAACTCTTGAACTAGAGCAAGAACCAAGCAAAGTCTCCAAAAAAATGCGGTTTGTAAATGCGAAAATTGTACTTTGAAGTTCGTTTTTTTTATGCGCGGAAATGTCTACGTGCATGAACATAGTGACGTCACAGTCGCGGACGAATCATATCTTCTCGCGTGGTTTAGGTTACAAAAACCTAATTACAAATGCGCATATTCAAACCGGATTGTCACGCGCGCCATTAATCATGATCGTTCGTGATAGCATTGCCGATTTATGCGTGCACGTGGAAGAAATCACACAGGGCACGGGAGGATATGCCTTCTTGTGGGCAGAGTGCCCAAACAAGAGGGTCGAACTTTATGTGCTAAGCCAAACGTGTACGAAATAGCTGCGAGAGTTCCGCGCGTTGTTGCGAGATTTCAACCGATCTTTTGTAACGAACTAGACGTTCTAAAAGAAGTAGTGGGCATCCAAGATGGCGTGGTAAGTAGAAAGAACACGTTTTTTCGATTCGAATGGTGGTAAAAATACCCTGTTTAAACAACGTTTTAGCTGTTTTTTGCACGTCTAAAGTTCAGGCGGAATGCTGTGGCTGTTTTCATTTGCGTTTTC